TGTACATATATAAAAAAAAAAAAAGAAAGTTTGTTAGTCAAGACAAAATAAAAAAAAAAAACTATAACTGCAATAGAGTCATATAGCCAACTAGCATATATATGTATGTATATCTGTATATCGCTATATATTTATATAAATTTGATTCTTTCAAAAAGCAGCTTATTATATACCAGACACACTTATATATATGTACATATATACATATGTATACATTTGTATACAAGTGCTGAGACAACAATAATAGTGCAATAGTTAAATATTTCTTGAGCAAAGTTTTTATCTATGATTTTTGGACCAAAACTATATAGAGATTGTAATAAGAAATTAACAGTTATATATGAACTATATTCAAAACTAAATAAGTACACATAAATGTACATATATATATATATGTATGTAGATATATATTGTATGTATGTTTATATTCAGTTAATTTATATTACGTATTATTTGTTTTGTTATCAAAATAGAATTCTTTCAAATCAAGTTCCTTAGCTTACTTACCATATGTAATGCATGCATACAAAAAAAAAAAAAGGACGGATTGGCTTATAAAATGTATTAAAAAAAAAAAAAAAGCTATTTTATAGTAATTTATAATAATATATATGTATATACATACGTACTGCATCGTACAATGCATGCATATATAATATATATATACGTATTATTATCTGAAGTCCCCGAAAATAGTATGTACTGTTTGCAAGCTCATGTTGAAATAGAGTAGTCTTTTATGTTAATATTCCTTCACCCGAACAACAAATTCTATTTAGTATTTGTATCTCTAGCTATTTTTAGTAATACTATCAAAAAGTCTGTAAGCTATCCACAACACAACTGAAGTAATGTCATCTATGTATGCATATGTCTTCATTTCGATATCTCTTTGAGTTTGCTCAGCGGCAGTAGAATGGAAATAGATCCAATTTCAGTTTGGTCCAATTTCAGATATACATGTACATATATAAATATATATTTACTTAAAGGCAGCATGGGGTTTAAAGCAGCTGAAGGTATATAGAGAATATTTTGCCTATTATATATGAATGTATATGTATATAAAAAAAAAATAAAATAAAATTTATGTTTGAATTTTACAAGAGTTCAATTTTATCAGGCAATTGTAATTGGCACTTTTGTTAGTAATATAATATATATTGGTATATAGAATATATATAGATAATTGTAGATGTGGATTCGCGCTGCTGCATTGTGATGATTAAGTTAGTTATTAATCGGAAAAGTTGATCGACTCGACTAATCCCAGATTCAAACTGATTATAAGCAAATCTAACTACTACTCTGATAACCCTTCCCGTTACATATTTTGCCGTTTGTGAGTTGATTTCTTAATTAAAGAAAGTATTATATATATTAAAAGAATAAAATTGACTTGTTTATCGAGAGACATAGATAGAGAGAGGGGGAGAGAGGGGAGGAGAAACTATGCGTCTACCATTTGCGCGTCGGCGCTGGCAGTTGTTTTTCTGATTGGAAGACGCTGCGATGCGTCTCCACGTACTCGCTTTGTGTCTGGGAGACAATGCGCTCCTCGGGCTGGCCCGCTACGTGCTGAGCTAGCGCCAATGGCTGGAAGTGATGAACGAGAAGATTTGAATAATGCAAAACAATGGGGGAGAATCGAAACTCACCTGACGTGCTCGGTAGGCGCGAGGCGTGCCCTCGGGCGAGGAGACCTCGACGTCATCGGGTGCTGTCCAGTGCTCAGTGAACTCGCTGGCCGAGCGAGCCAGCGATGGATGGCTGATTGAGCGATGGAAGGAGCGTCGGTCCTCATCATCGTAGTACTGCATACGATAATACGAGCTGGCATCGCTCACATTGTCCAGGTTGTCCGGCTGGGGCCGGCCGAAGTCGACCGTCACCTCGGACATGGACCGGAAGTCGTTGTGATCTGTCTGGTATGAGGTGCGAGAGCTACGGCGCGATCGCTGCGTATTGAAGGGGCCGGGCCCAGCCATCGGACCGCCGTGCAGTGGCAGTGTCGGATCGTTGCGTATGGTACGCACGCTGGAGCCGCCGTCGCTGTCGTACTCGTATAGCGTTGGCAGCGAGCTGCGCCTGGAGCGGGTATCCCACGGCTGTGGCGGCGCCTTCTTGCCGCGCTTGGGTGCGCGCATTTCGACGTCCGTCTCGTCGTCGCTGGGTGGCGCCAGGATGCGTATGATGACGTCCCAGGTCTGCGGCTCGAACATGCGCTCGTACCGCGTGTCCTGGCGAATGCGCTCGAAGTCCTCGCGCACTACCGCCTCGGTCAACATGGTGCGCAATGAGGACTGCGTGGTAATGATCTCCTTCCACTTGGCCCTGTCATCGTAGCTGATGTTGTGAACGGAACTGGTGTCGTCGCCGATCTCGGATAGTTCGGGCTCCTCCAGAATGCGTATGAGCACGTCCCAGTTGGGCACATCCTTGTCCTGCGGCGGTACCTCAATCGGTTTCATGTTGCCAACTAGCTCGGGGCTGGTCAATTTCTGTTTGTTATCGTGGATCTGGGCCGGCGGCTCCGCCGGTGGCAGGCTTAGCTCGGTGCGCGACATCTTCGGCGTGAGTGTTAGCCCGGAGGCGCTCGAGATATCCGAGAAGTTCTCCCATTGCTGCTGCTCGCGCTCGCTCGGATATTTGCGCACCTTCACGTCGAACGTGGGATCAACCACCGGAGGCGGTGGTGGCGGTAGTGGGGCCTTCGGCTTGCTCTTGTACTCGGTGACGCGTCGCTTGTGGCTCTCAATGTCCTCGATAGTCTTCTTCTCGGTAACCGTACGCAAATAGATATCGTCGACAGTGTGGGATGTCACGGCAGGCAGCGGCGGCGGCGTCTGCACCACTGGCTCCGCGGGCACATACTCGTCCTCGTAGTAGTGCATCGTGTCCACCGCCCGACTGGTGTCGTGGACGACCGATCGCTCGGGTGCCTCCGAGGACAGATCTGTGATCTCGCTCGGTTCCGGTCCGTCGGTGTAGTCAGACCAGGTTTCCGGACGACCGTCGACAACCTCATGGTGAGTGCGAGTATACACGGAGAACTTGGGCTCGGCTACCATCGGAATCGGCTGTGGCTGGGGCATTTGCGGTGCCGGATGTAGCTCGGGCACGTACGTGAACTGGGACTGCATCGTCTCTACTTGGTGTGGCAGTGAGTCCATGGTCATGACGCTCTCCCGGTCCTCGTAGCCCTCCATGATGGTCGACAAGTTGTTGCGATCTCCCCGAAGAGTCGCCATGCTCTCCGTGTCGGATGTGACGGGCGATGGGATGGGCGGTGGCGATTTCTTCACCCTCACCTGAACGTCAAACTTGGGCGAGCCAGCCAACGGCTCCTGCACTGTAGCAGTTTGTCGCATTACCGTGGATATCACAGCGTTGGCCGCTGGCACTTCCTGAGCTGGAGCATAGTGGTCACTGTAGATACTGGACGTTTCCTGAACAAATGCCCGATTCTCGAAGCTGCCCGCAGAGCTGAACGGCAGCGATCGTGTATCAATCTCCTCGATTTCCGAATGCGACTCACTGGGGTAGTCCGAAGGTATCAGAGCGCCTTCGCTGCCCGACGAGCTATAGACGGCCTGGAGAGCCGCATGAGCACGCGGTATCTTCACGCCCTCGAATGCACTGATGTTGCCAGCGCTACTGCCGCTCAGCTTGGTGATCTCTGAGCCGCTGCCCATGCTCATCGGCAGACGTCGCACCACCGGAATGGGGCGACTACGCAAGCAGTAGTAGGAGACGGCCAGACCCAACAGCAGCAGGGTCAGGAACATGATGGCGCATATGATCATCAAGATCTGAATGCCCTTCAGTGGCGGCTGGAGTACAGAGCCCGTGGCAATGGGATTTAAGCTGCAAAGAGCATCAAGATGCATAAAAAGCTTGTTGGAGATAGGAACGAATAGCAAGCGAATAGGAAGCGGGTAGACAACCATCCACTCAACCACTTACATGGGTGCTGGCAGTGCGGGTGGCAGAGAGGGCACCGGCGGCGGATAGCGACAAACGATTGTGATGATCTCATCGCCATCCATCTCCAAATTGGCATGGAAGCGGACAATTATGTTGTTGGTGAACACGCGTGTGGGATTCTGTTGAAGCCAGACGACAAGACATGACATTGATCTGCGCTCAAATCTTCAGCTAGTTCTAGCCATACCTGTATTGTTCCACAGCCCTTGAGCGGTAGCTCCAGGCGATAGCTGAGTGCGCCTTTACCACTGACGCGACAAGCGCTGCTCCGATCGTAGTCAGCCTGAATGATGCCGTGGAAGGGATCATTGAACTTGAGATCAACCTGTTGCAAATGAAGACTTGATTGTTTTATTCCCACTCAGCTTTAGGCATATCCTAGTGCACTTACTTGCATTGAGCCGGCTGCGCAGTTCAACGCGGCTTTGGTGCGATTCAAAAATATCAAGGGGCTAATGTCATCCAGTTTGGTTACCTATAAAAAAAATGGGGAAAAATAAAAATAGATGAGTCGGGCCAGGAAGCGAATTCGAACTGAGGTCTGTACCCAAATTGTGGAAGCTATTAGTTCCCCTATCCTCTATAATCGGTTCCTAATGTGGCTGAGTCCTAGGAGTCCTCTACTGTTGCTATGTAATCAATGTATGAAGCAGATACGGACTATCGATGAGCACAGCGAATATACTCGCTTTAGTAAGTGAACGAGTAACAAAAAGATATCCTAACTCTACATAAAAGTTTGTTAGCTTAATAGGATTTGTGGTCCTCCTGTATACTCTTTACTACTACTCGAACAAGTGTAAAATTGGTTTAATGAGACTATAACTTGCCTTCCTATTAGCCGCATTTGTATACGGTCACAGTCTGGGCGTGGGAAGCTCCTCAGTCAAAGACAATTCATTGCGCTTCCATGGATTATCATATTATATAAGCTACTAGTGTGGGCTCGCGTCGCATGACAGTTGCTTCCGTTGCTGTATGGAATTGTGTTTGCCCTCGATACGACCACATAGCAGGTTCAAAGACATTCAAGTGTCTCAGCCTCAACCTAAGCAACGAGGTTATTGTTGCAAAGCAAATACTATCAGACTTCTTCACATTGTGTCGACTCGTATTGGCCCTCTTTCAAAGCAGAGAGTGCAACTTCGCTGATCGACACTGAGTCCCAAATATTTTATTGAGCTGTTCTCTATTTATTGGGGTCAATCCAATCATTACATATGTAGATATTGTAATCTGTCTCTCACAGCTGATCAGCTCATACTCAGAATGGATTGAATATTAGCGAGTTAGACTACTCTAATTAAAAGTATCCGACTTGGAAATACCCGAAGCATGCTGCTGTCTCACTTAGTAGACTAATATTCGTTATTCCTTTAAGCTTACGTAAAAACCAAATCATGTACAAACAAGTAAGAACAATGCGGAATACTGCTTAACGAGATGTCAGATCTATTTTCTGATTTGCCACGCCCCCAATTTGCATGTATACATTAGAGGAAACTAGTAGCCGTACACATATCCGGCATATCCTTTTCAGTTCAATTCTCAATTCAATTCTCTTCTCAGATACCCAAAAAGCCATTTCCTATCGGATCTTGGGAAAATCTTGATACTCTGTAATACCAGGGCTTACACGAGTCTATGTCCTACAATTATGTTAAGTCTCTGGCTTCATACGGACAGACAGATGGGCATTGCACAAAGCCAATATACTCATTTCACTTTCGTGAATGAGTACAGTTATACAGTTTAATCTAGCTGAATCTTGTATTGTAGAGCTTGCACTTAGTCATAATTGTAAGTAGTGGTATATATGTTTGCCTGACTATATATTGGGAGTATCAGGGGAGTGTTCAAGCCTCGCAAATCTGCACATTTGCTTGTCTGTAGTCAAGGGACAATAATGTGGCACTTACCTTGCCATCCAGGGTTGCCTCCTCGGGCAGTCCGTTTGTGGAGTAGTTGCCGCTATCGCCATGCTGCACGTAATTGGATTGGGCCAGCGCTTTGCCACCGAACAGCAGGCAGAGGATGGCGGCGTAGCTGAGCAGCCAGCTGGACCGCAGCGGCCGTGGGTCGGACTTCATTTTGCTAGAACGTGGTATAGTATCTGCGCGGCGGAGGGAAGAGAGAAGGCAAAGAGAACGCTTGAAATTAGCACAATGAGCAGCCCGCAATGGAAACGTGTGCACACAATAAAGCCCACATAATACTAGACTAGACTGCGGCCCCAGCCCAAACCAGGCCCAGCGCTGGCCCCCAGGTGGCGATCGTGCTGAATTTGGAGTTGAGTAAGCCTGGTTGCAGCTGCAGCTGCACACGGACACCAAATCGTTGGCTATCTCCTGCCGCGGATCGTTGCAGCTGCACTCGGCGGGCATTACGATCAATTATCGTCAAGTTTGCCAAATTGGGGTTACACGAGCTCGGTCCAACTGGGGCTTGCATCTGGCTAATAGTGACTGTGATTGTGGCCCATGGCGAATCGTTGGCTAATAAATGGATATGGATCATTTGAGAGTTGCATTGTCTCTTCGTTTCGACTGGCGTTTCTATTGCGGATATTCGAACCGTTAGCTGCCAAATTGTCAATGACCCTCTGTCAACAAAAAAAAAAACAAATCAGACAAAAAAAATACCGAAAGAAAAAAAAAAACCCAAAACTCAAAAAAAAAATCAAAACAAAGCGAAACACAAAAAAAAAAAAAAAAAGATCTTTAACATGGTTTCTCTTAGGCAGTCTTGAACAATAAAAAAGACATAAGAAGCAGAACGCATTTCTCATCGGCTTCTTTCAACAGAACTTTGTTGCTCTCAAGCGCTTTCTTCACAAACAAAATMAAGATTGTACTAGAAATGGCAAAAAAAAAAAACAGAGTGTGTGTGTGCCTTTTGCACAGATTGATGATAAAGCCGAGACTCGTGTCAAGTCCTCTAGAAAGTGGCTCGAAAGAGTCATTGATCGTATTCGCTTTTAATGGCCAAGTCGGTTCAAGTGGGCTATGTATGGCTGTATTGCATAAGCCAGACCAATATATATATGTGTGTGTGTGTAGCTCTTACATCGATATATCTTATCCACAAAAGACATATAAAACTCCTACGATACTTTTGCCATATTTGTCAGACAATCGCCTTGAGTCGACGCAGCTGCAGCTCGCAGCTCGCAGCTCGCAGCTCGAGAAAACCGACAACGTCGGGCAAAATGTTGGCATTTTGTGGCTCAAATTCTACTTGGCTTAGCATTTGTTGGCCAAACAAGTTTCAGTCACACATACACACACACACATACAGCTATAGCTGCAAACGGTTGTAGGAGAACCTTTGCAGACAGATATTATTTTAAGCTCTATGGCTCTGAAAATTCCTTGACGGTAAAAGCTAATCAATTCAAGTGCACTGCGATATGCATATATGTATATATACATAAGCGCAAGTAGTCATGCTCTCTCTCTCTCTCTCACTCACAGTCACTCTCTATATACATATATCTCGTATCAAAACTGGCTTTTCAGTTATATTTGCATTGGTTGCCTTTTGCAGATTGGAGTTAGTCATGTTGCTAATTTAATATATATTTTGAAGGTTAAAAGAACTTGTATTGATAGACTATATATACATCTACTGGTATACCAGATATATACCAGACTGTCAGCCAATCAAAGATTTTCAGAAATTGAATAAAAGCTCGAAATGTGCAAAAAAATAACTAACAGTAATATTATTAGAAAACAATAGATACGATTTATAGACCCACACACACACACACACACATCTGTGAAGAATTTCTGAGTGTGTGTTTAAGCCTTATTCAGTTATTGTACCTGCACATTGTTGTAATGGTACTCGCAAAAAAAAACAACAAAAACAAACTCGTACCTATCGAGCCACATTCAACTACCTACAAACATGCATGCATACATGTACATGCACAGATACATACATATGTACATATATATGTACGCATGTACATACATGCACGGCATGTCGTCGCACTTATTGAAAGACTTGGCGCAACAATAAGCTCAGATGACGGCAATTTCGAGTAAAACTGGTATTTTGAGTTGCCGTAGATCGCGTCCCTCTGTCCGCCCGCGTACCTAAGCCCAGCTTATGCGGCTCTGGCTCTGTCTGTGGCACTGGCTCTGGCACTGGGCACTGGCATGGCTTAATGATTACGTGACGCGGGAGACAAAGTAGCTGCCAGCAGAGCTGATGAAAATATGTCGGGAGTAACTAGTGAATGCGAATATGGTTGACTCAAGTACGTCCTGCTGCTGCTGCTGCTGCTGCGCTGCTGCTGCTGCGACTGCTGCTGCTGCTGCTGCTGCAATGCCAAATCAATTCCCTTTGGGCTTTGGGCTCTACACAGCACCAATACCAATATTGCTTAAGCTGCATAAAAGCCAGCGGCAGAGATGGAGGAGAGAAACAACTTCGAGTTAGCTCAGCTTTGCCAAACTGTTAACCCACGCAACACGACGCCCTGAACTTGATGTACATACACATGTATGTAGTACATTTGTGTACACACATATACATACACATGTATACATACGAGCGAGCTTGAATATCTGCGCTTGTTTAGCTGAGTCAAAGGTATTACATTGGGATTTCGCTCAAACCAACTACAAAGTTAATACTTTAAGTAAATAAATTAAACTATTTCAAATTGATTTAAAATATACTGTTTACAAGTAATCGACAAGCAGTTGGAGTGCATTAAATATTTTGTAAAAAATTTGGTAATTAAAATATATTATAAAT